AGGGGAGGGCAGTTGCGGACAACCGGGCCGGCAGGTGAAGGCAATTGGGGATGACTGGGCTAGCAGGGGAGGGTAGTTGGGGGTGATCGGGTCAGCAGGGGAGGGCAGTTGGGGGCAATCAGGCCAGCAGGGGAGCAGTTAGGCGTTGATCAGGCTGGCAGTGGAGTGGTTAGGGGGTGATCAGGCTGGCAGGCAAAAGTGGTTAGGGGCAATTAGGCAGGCGAGTGGTTGGGAGCCAGCAGTCCCAGATTGTGAGAGGGATCCCAGATTGTAGAGGGTGCAGGCTGGGCTGAGGGAGACCCCCCCCCTCCAGTGCACGAATTTTGTGCACTGGGCCTCTAGTTTCTGTATAATTTCCATAGAGTTGTTGAAATCATGCTTCATTGAGACATATGTCTTTTGACTCTGCTAGCCTCTCTTAAGATGTTATCATTGTTATGACCTCCCATCACTCTCCACTCATTTATTAATGAGTTCTTTGTTGGTTTAAAGTGATCTTCTCACTTCAGTTTCTACTATTACATATAAATATATGACCCACTCCACACCTTGGCCCTCATTTTCTTGACTTCCTTTCTCTGGTGGTTTTCTCCTCTACTTCACCTCTATCCACTCACATCCTGGAGCTGGAAACACCTAATACTTTTCTACTTCTGAATCACAAACCTGATATCCACTAGGATTAAAGCCTCTTGTCTTTCCAGATTTCTTGTTCAATTACTTGTACTATGTCCATACTTCAAACTCATGTGGGCATTGACTCTATTGACAGCCTGGGCTTCTCTCTAATCATTAATCTATTTTATCTTTACTTTCTTTCATATCTAACTTAGATTCTATGAGCCATCATTTCAATGTATCTCTTCCTAAGGTTCCAAAGTACCTCATACTTCTTTTTTTTTTGTTATACTTATCAGAGAAAACTTCAATGCTAGTTGTCCATTTCCTCTGTTTCTATTCCCAGGGAGTTGAAGAATTTTTAGAGAAAAACTTAGAATGGGGTAGATATCAACCATCACATATTTATGATTAAACAACTTCAACTGGTATTTCAACATTACCTGGAAATCCATCAATGCTACTCTGATTAACTTGTTTACCCATTCCTTGCAAGGTCTATATCAGACCACTATTCTTCTCAAACTTCCAACTCATCAATCTCACCTCTTTCTCACACTCTGGGCTAGTCCTGCCCTTTACTTACACAAAGAAAATAGAATCAATAAGAGGGAATGTTCTCAACCTTCTTCTATATTTCTTCCTCTCTAAGGTCAGTCATTATGCATGTGATCAAGATCACATCTTTTGCTGATTCAGAAAAATTATGTTTTCTGTAACCCATTCTCCCCTTTGTAGTTTCAACCTTTCCTTCCTTGATGGATCCCTCTGTTTGGCATTGAGGTATCTGTGTTCAAGTCTCATCCATTTATGGTTCTTATGGACATAGCCCAGTTTCACTTTTCTCTCCTGTACTAATCTTCCCTGAACAGAAAACTCCCTGAAAGATTTGTTGTCTACACTTACTCTATTCGCCTTCTTATTCCTTAATCAACACACTTTGAAGTTGTTTCTGCTCTTTTGTTGAGATGACTCTTTTTGCCATAAAAAATAACCTTCATGCCACTAATCCAGCAGGCTTATTTTAGTCCTCTTTAAAACCGTGGCCTCTGGGAAGCTGTTTTTCTGATTTTCCTCTTATCTTTCTTTTTTGTTTCCTTACTCCACATCTCTTCTTAGATCAGTGGTTGGCAAACTCGTTAGTCAACAGAGCCAAATATTAACAGTGCAACGATTGAAATTTCTTTTGAGAGCCAAATTTTTTAAACTTAAACTATATAAGTAGGTACATTGTTATTAACTTAATTAGGGTACTCCTAAACTGGCCTTTGCTAAAAACGTCCTCAATCTGATTGAGGTACATTTGCTGAGGTCGACCCCTTCCAACTCTCCCATCCACACTCGTCTTGTATACTTGTTTCGTCCATCTCCTTTCGTTCATCCTCTCTATATGTCCAAACCATCTCAACATACCTTTCTCAGTCCTCGACACTACATCTTCTTTCACTCCACAACGTTCCCTAAAATTAACTTAATAAACTTTACTTAAAGTTTTAAGTCTTAGTTAAACTATAGGTACGTTGAATAAAACTTGAGATCATACTTAATAATGATATTATTTATTGATAAAATTAAATTCCTTACAATTTACCTTACAATATCCATAAAATTAAATCATGACAATGACTGACAAACACTAATGTGAACAATGGCCTTGCATCTCCTTGGAAAGTGTGGGTAAGTCAGGTTTGTATGTTGTTGTTTTTAATTTTAGGCACAATTCCAGGTTCTCATCAGTAAGACGACTTCTCAATTACTCTTGATAAGGTTCATGCTTGAAAATGTAGGATTTGCAGCTGGTTGGAAAAATACAGGTAACTTTGTACTTTGAGTAGGTACTTTTGTCACCCACGCACGATTTGCGTATGCAGCTAGCACTACCCACTGCACATGAGACTGCTGACTGACTGGCTCACTCAACTCGGGCATGAACCGCGCGCGCCTCCCCTGCACTGCGTATGCCCCGGCCCGCCTGCACCGCGTCTCTTGCCGCCCGGACAGACACCCGCACTTCTTCTAATGCCACTTCTTCAAAATAGACTCGCCCAGGCCGAAAACTGACTTTTGCACATGGGCCACGAAGTTTCAATCGCACTGTACGTGCACGCCCGCAAATGGTATTTTGTGGAAGAGTCACACTCAAGGGCCCAAAGAGCCGCATGTGGCTCGAGAGCCACAGTTTGCCAACCACTGCCTTAGATAATCTCATCCATTCTTACGTCTTCCCCACCAATATTCCGATTTAATATCACTATCTCATAAATCTCACTTTTGGGCTAAATATGCAACTTTCCAACCAATAGATAGGGTGTCTCCAAGAAATGTATACATACCTATTATACATTATTAATTCCAATGGGTTAATAATGGAATTATTTACTCATAATAATAATGGAATTATTATTCTTTTCTTTATGAAAAGAAAGAAACAACCATTGAACTATTAGCTTTTAAAGTGTGTATACATTTTGTGGGGGACACCCTGTATATACCCAGTATATCCAAAGTACCTCAGATTCAATATTTCTAAGTTAAATACAACCACCACCACCACCACCAACAACAACACTACCCTACCAAGCCTGTTCATACTATAGTTTTTCCTCTCTCAATGAATATATTCACTATTCATTAATAAAAAGAAGCTTAAAATGAAGAACTCATCTTTGAAATCTCCATCTTCTGTAATCCAATTTATGATTAAATCCTATTAATTTCATGTCTATTTTCTTCCACCTCTAGTGCCACCATCCTAAATCTAAGCTATCATTATTTCCCTCTTAAACTACTACTATAGCCCTGGCTGGTTTGTCTCAGTGGATAGAGCGTTAGCCTGTGACTGAAGGGTCCCAGGTTCAATTCTGGTCAAGGGCACATATCTTGGTTGCAAGCTGGATACCTGTCCCTGGCTCAGATGCATGGAGGAGGCAACCAATCAATGTGTCTCTCTCACATCTATGTTTCTCTCTGTCTGTCTCTCCCCCTCCCTTCCACTCTCTAAAAATCAATGGGAAAATATCGTTGGGTGAGGATTAAGAAAACAACAACAACAAAAACCCACAGAACTATTACCATAGCCCCATAACTATTTCTCTACATCTATTTCTGCTCCTCTCTAATCCCTTCTCCAAGTTGTGGAAAATGTGATATTTTAAAAACACACATTTGTTATCACTTTCCTGCTAAATATCCTTCAATGGCTTTCTATTGTTTTAAGAAAAAGATCAAAATCATTAACAGGCCCTATGGCATCTGGCATTTCTTCAGCCTCATCTCTACCAATTACCCTCTGAGTCCCGCTGCTCCTGCTGCAGTGACTTCTTCAGCTCCTCATATGCACCATAATTCTCTATCCCAGGACCTTTGCATGAATATTTCTTGTCCTTCCCCATTCCTCATTCTAGCCTCCTTCACCAATAACTCATTTTTGTGGGAAATGTCTCAGAATAACCCTTTTAGAGTCCCGAAGACCTTCATTCTCTGCTATAAAAAATGTTTTCTTCTTATGAAAAACAGATGGAATCCAAAATGTCCACTTTCTGTTGCTCTTAGCAAGTTATACCAAAATCTGTGATTCTCTTCCCCAGAAGAGAAAATGTAATACCTGCAGAATGTCTTGCTCAAAGACATTCTTTTTTTTTATGTTCCTGTTTCATAATTTGAAAATCCTGTTATAATTTCTTTTTTTACTAGTGTTGACAATTTTTTAAAAATATGGTTTTATTGATTTTAGAGAGAGAGGAAGGGAGAGGGAGAGAAAGAAAAATCAATGAAAGAGAAACATGGACTGGCTGCCTCCTACAAATACCTTTTTGGGGATCCAGCCCCCAACCAGGGCATGTGCCCTGACCAGGAATCAAACCTGCCACCTCTTGGTAATGAGTCGATGATCAACCACTGAGCCACACAGACCAGGCTTAATTTCTTGATAACAGCTGATTTATACCTAAATATTTAAATTCAAATTTTGGGGAAACCTCCCCAAAGAGAGAAAATGGCATTAAAATAGAAATTATTTGTGGCTATACCCCACTAATTATTAAGAGATGCTCTTTCTCCTTGATTCTTTTTTTTTTTTTTGTAATATCTGTTAGTGGAGCCGAATCCTTTGTGTACCTGAATGTGTATGTGCTTCACGCAGTCCTTTCCAAGCTCCATCTGTAATGTGGTCTGGGCTCCGTTGGTTGTGCTCGCTGTTTGCGAAACCTGCCCTTGTTTTTCTTCGCTTCTTGTGGCACACATGCCTTGTATTCACAATGACTCACTTTCTCACGGTGCTGCAATGGCTTCCCAGCAAATCAGGGTTACTGCCACGTGGCCTGATTTTGTGCTCTTAATGTGGATCTGGCTCTGTCTCTACTCTTTGCAGGACAAATGCCTGCTCAGCCGGCCTCCCCTGAAAGAGTGGGCTGCCTTCAGCATGATAGCAGGACTTCGGAACAAGCTGCCTTCCGGACTGATGCTGAAGATCTTGCCCTTCCATCTGCTTTCGGGAAGAAAAGTGCAAATGTAAATCTGACCTTCAATTCCTACGTGGCATTTCGGGAGTAAACAGAATGACTAGGTATTTTTGCAGCATATGAATTCTCTCACTAATGCCACTCAGTGCATGATAACAGGCAATTTATTTAATGAGCTTTTACACCACACAGTCTAGGTTGGCACCTTTACCTCATTTATGCAGCACCCAGCACCCCACCTACATGGCGAAGAATTCATTTTGGCTAGTTTTAAACTCTCTTACCATCTGTTTCTTCCCACATTCCTGGCTAGTTTCCCTTTTTTAAAAACATCTCACTTTTAGCCCCTGAACTTGACACACCTGCTTTTGTTATTCTTGTACTAACAACTTGGATTCCTTCTGTTGGAGGTTCTCTCGTTTTATGTGCTGAGTAATTAATTTCTTCAATGACCCGCTTGGCTGCTGGAACCTCATCTTCTGTACAGACTCCACTGGCTGCTGCCCCCACTGCCTGCTGCCCATTCCCATCACTCAGGAGGATCCAGACAATGATGGGGTCTAATTAGTTTTATTTTTCTCCCAAGAAACTTGAAACAAAACTTTCCTGGAGGCTGATGTAGTTTGGGATGAATAAGTTTTGAGTATGAGTAAATTTGGGATGTTTGCTGTACCATGAAAGACTTTGATCTGTCATTATTTAATTTTTTTAGAACAAGAAGTTCAATGTTTCAAATCAGAAACTGCCTATTCAAACATTTATAGGAAAATGTTAAGTTTTAGAAATATATTTTGTTTGTTGTTTGAGTAGATTGGTGACCCTGTATTTAAATTATGATGAGTACTGACCACATAGATGACGAAGGTCCTAATGTAACCTCTGGTCTGACCTATTTGTGGCTGCTGCTGACCTGGGTGTAATCTCTGACTCTCTTCCCCCGCTCCTGTTTTGATTAAGGTGTTTGCAGTGACAAACAGTGCCTTTATTTCACCACTGAGTACAACCTTCTTCCCATTTTCCTCCTCATATTACCATTCCCATCATCACTAAGGTACATTGAAGTACTGGCAGCATCTATATCTGATTGACGCTATTTTGCTTCCTTGTGAAATGTTCTCTCGATTGCCCTGAAATGCCCTCATTCCTGTCATTCAGGTTTAAAATAAATAATCAGACTTGAGCTGCCCACGATGTCAGCCAACACGTTGGTCTCATGCAGTGCTTATCACATTGTTCAGTGGCAGCTAGGTGGAGACCAGGATACCGTTTTTCTTATTCTGCTGTAGAATCTTTAATTTATCATGTGAAATTAAGGAAGTACCCATTAAGAAGATCTACCATGCAGCTTTTAATTTTTACTGTGAACTACCACTTACAAACGCACAGTGACATATCTTCACAAAATTACAGGTTACGATTAGCCCCCTTGCCTTTAAATTCAAGGCCAGCTTAGTTGTGCAAAACAGATGGCAGCTATACAGAGGTCTTCATCCATGGTCCTCCAGTTGTAATGAACTTTCAACTCTGTATACCTTGAAACATCCTTTAGATTGCATAACCATGAACATCTGGGGGCATTTTGTTTGAATTCAGTGAAGTTGGAGCTATAGAGAAACTGCAACATTTTTTACTCTAATCAATTCAGAAACTGCATATTTTAGGTTCCTCTGGAGAATTCATTAAATATTCAGTTATTTTAAAACTGATCGTTGAAGGGAAAATTGCGATTAAGTAACACTTTTGCTAACAGAGACACTCCAAAACTTCAGTCTATATTGCGTAGGAGGAAGTGTAACAAGCAGTCTCTCACCTTCCGGTTTCTGAGTTTCCCCAGATGTCTCCTGTGCTCATTTCCCCCTACTCCCACCCCCGGTAATTACATTAATGTTTTGGAAAAGATGACGAAAATCTAGAGATTTAGTCAGCATGATGACACTGTCAGAGAGTGAAGACTTTACAGGTGTGACTTCCAAACAGACTCTTCAAGAACTTGCTGTGACCTCTGTTGACAGCTTCCTTTCACAGCTGCTAAGTGGATACATTTGGAGAAAGGGTAGTGACTTGTGAGAAGAAACAGGACCCTGGTAACCCACTGGACTAGACTAGTGATTTTTTCTATGAAAAGAATCTATGTAGAAAGTATTTATATACAGAAAGGCTTAGAATTTTCTCATTCTATTTGATATCATAGATCTGTTATTTTCCCCAGAAGTGTGTGTGTGCGTGTGTGTGTGTGTGCGCGCGCACACGTGTGTTTCCATGAACTGGGTTTAAAATGCATAACTTGAATGCTAATAGAATGCTAAGTAAGCACCCAATTAATGTATTAATTGAATACTCTTATTTATTATGTGGCCTCAAGAAAAACCTGTATTTAATTTCATTTCTTTGCCCAAACACAATGGTTCTTACCTGAGAATGTACTTGGCAATAATAATGACTTGGGTTTTAGGGTGTTTATTCTATATCAGACTCTGGACTCACTGCTTCAAATATTTACCCCATTTCACCCTGAGAAGCTCCTAAAATCCACTTTACAACGGAGCAGACAATTTTGGCCCTCATGCGGGTTCTCTGTGACTACCGGAATGAGGAGGAAGAGTTTGGAGCTGGACTTAGTGCTTTGAACCCCATGTTGGCATGAACTAGCAGTAAATGGAGTGCTGTGCAGCTATGGCCCCACTCAGGCTGGTGAAGGTAAGTCCTTCTGGTGGGAGGATCTCTGAATAGCACCTATTTGTTGTCTGTTAAGTCTGGAAAGGAGAAGGGCCCAAGAAATGGTTTACACATGTCAGGATCACTGGATAATGGTTTGGCTGCTGATTGGGTTCCTAATAATCACGGGTTTACTGAAGACCTTATACATAGTATCCCATACAATCTGCTCTGACCAAGGACTCGCTTTGTAGTAAATGAACAAAGGCAGTGGATTCATGCTCAGTTATTTGTTGAACTTTACATGTTCTCCATTATCCAGAGTAGTTGGCTTTACTGAAAGGCCTATTGAGAACTTACTTATGGGGCCAGATAGGATGTAACATCTGGCAAGGTGCTTCTGCAGCCTTTCAACTATATGGCAATTAGAGTCTCGAGAGAAAGAGATGGTTTACAATTCACTTCACAATGGCTAAGCACGGAGGGGATAGAGGCAGCATCTAGTGTCCAGTGGTCTAGCCGTGTATGGTCCAGCAGCAGGGACAACAGCAACTCATGCAGTGACACCCCAACAAGACCATTTCTGTGGCATAACCTGGCCCATGGCTTAGAGCAACTCCCCTCTCTTAGTTCTCATCCATTTTATTTCCTGGTTATACAGCTGATTCTCTGAGCTCTTTAATATTTGACAATACATTCTTTTTCTGCTTATGTGTAATTCTTGCAGCCAAGAACACTGGCTGCTAGGGGTAGGTATGATTACCTCAGCTTCAACTGAGGGGGGTCATTGCAAAGTTATATTAATTGGCCAATGGTCACACCGTAAACGAGTTGAAATTTGAACCCCAATCTGCTTGATGCCACGCTTGTATTCTGAGACATGACTCTTGTTAGTTAAAATTAGAAAATATTACAAAGACTAGCTTACTATAGTTTTTAAGAGATTACTTCTTAGCTTAAGAAAACAAAGGAATCATGTGGAAGGTTGACACCAATTGTTGAGGCTCCTGCTGGGAAAAATCAAGTCATGTTGACGAACTAAAGACACTTGTGCCATTGCTCTCAACACATAATCATTGCCCAAGTTTGTTGCTAGTAAGAGGTCTTCATTGTCTTTCTGAAGAGTCTAGACAGGGTGGTATTTCCTATCACTTCTTTGGTTACCAAAGACCTGCCTCTTTCCAGAGCATTCTGCTTTTATCACACTTCCTCTAAAACTAGCTCCCTGTGTTGATTCTTCTCCAACGGAAATTTTAGACAATGATTTTATCCAAAAAATTAGAATCCTGGTCTTTTACGAGGGGCTTTTCCCATCCAAAGAACTGGAAAAATTGGTTCGTGGGGGAAGCCTGACGTTTGAACACCTCCTGAGTAGATGTCTCTTGGTTACCCCTGGGGAGATGTTTCTCTATGTGGCAGCGCTTTTCATCACAGACATTACATTTAATTGCTCCTTCCTATATTGCACCCCAATTTATTCCTTCTCTTCAGCTCAGTAATGACTCTGACTGTTGTTTACACTCACATCTTGTCTTGGCTGCTATTCAGTGGAGTTGAGCATTTTAGAATTTTTTAATCATTTCTTTTCATACGTCAATCTCTTTGCTCTCAGAGTCAAATTTGTGCTATCCTCTTATCTTTCTTCAGTTTTAGCCCAATTGGAAGTATGATTAGCATGTGGATTTTTCCTACTTCTGGCTAGGCTTTTACAAGTGGTTGCAAAAAGACATTATAAAAAGTTTAGAAGACTCAAGGTCTAACCTACTAAATTCCACTATTGCATGGACCAGTATCCTTTTTCAAAATCCCTTTTATAGCCAGTTTGCTTCTCATAATGGGAAGTTCATTGCGAGGCTTTGATACAAAATTCAGAAGGAGTTTGTATTTTGTGCAGCTCTTTCCCGTAGGCTGTGAATCTCAAATGATAACATAGAATCATAGTTTTTAGTTATCTTATTGGGCTCAACTTCAGGCAGTGTTACTTATCTTGAAATTGATCGTAGAATGCTTTAAATATATCTGCAATAGCTTATTGCTCTTTTAATAACCATCACTCTCTTGTAACAGGTATCTCTCTTGCCAGAGATAGCATCTGTGATCCTGAAACGCCAATCTCCTCTGGGATCTAATGTTAATTTTGCAGCTGTCTTGTTATCCAGTAGTGTCCTTTGCTTTGCTTTAAGGCAGCCACACAGGAGCATGTATCAAGTACTACACAGTTTAACTGCCTATAAAGATTGGGCTGACGCTACTTACTACTGGACAGGTAAAAACTGGCAATTGGGGTAATAATGTTCTCTTTCTAATAGCTGGTACAGCTGGTACATTACCTGCCAGGTTGAACATGATCGGTGAGCTTATACTTGTCCTATGTCTCTTTGACGATAAATTTAAAGTAGTGCATGAAAAATGGAGGCCTCCTTAGTGTTGGTAGAGTGATTGGCACCTAGTTAGTTAACATTTGATAACTAAGAGTTTGAATCTGGCTTTATCAAAAGCATTTGCTTGAGTAGAATAAATTTTACCCTTCACTGGGTTGCTTTTTATTGACTTTAAAGAGAGAGGAAGGGTGAGGGTGAGAAGAGAGAGAGAGAGAGAGAGAGAGAGAGAGAGAGAGAGAGAGAGAGAGAGAGAGAGAGAGAGAAAGCATCGATTGGCTGGCTCCTGCATGCCCCATATTGGGAATCGAGCCTGCAATCCAGGGCCTGTGCTCTGACTGGGAATCAAGCTAGTGACCTTTTGGTACATGGGGCCACACTCAACCAACTGACCCACACCGGCCAGGACCACTGGGTTGCTCTTTTTTTTTTTTTTTTTTAATTAAATCTTTATTGTTCAGATTATTACATTTGTTCCTCTTTTTTTCCCCCCCATAACTCCCCTCCTCCCAGTTCCCGCCCCACCTTCCGCCCTCACTCCCCACCCACTGTCCTCATCCATAGGTGCACGATTTTTGTCCAGTCTCTTCCCGCATCTCCCACACCCCTTTCCCCCCCAGGAATAGTCAGTCCATTCCCTTTCTATGTCCCTGATTCTATTATGATCACCAGTTCATTCTGTTCATCAGATTATTTATTCACTTGATTCTTAGATTCACTTGTTGATAGATGCATATTTGTTGTTCATAATTTGTATCTTTACCTTTTTCTTCCTCTTCCTCTTCCTCTTCTTAAAGGATACCTTTCAGCATTTCATATAATCCTGGTTTGGTGGTGATGAACTCCTTTAGCTTTTCCTTATCTGTGAAGCTCTTTATCTGACCTTCAATTCTGAATGATAGCTTTGCTGGATAAAGTAATCTTGGTTGTAGGTTCTTGGTATTCATCACTTTGAATATTTCTCGCCACTCCCTTCTGGCCTGCAAAGTTTCTGTTGAGAAATCAGCTGACAGTCGTATGGGTATTCCCTTGTAGGTAACTGAGTTTCTTTCTCTTGCTGCTTTTAAGATTCTCTCTTTGTCTTTTGCTCTTGGGTTGCTCTTTTATCATCATACTAGAGGCCCGGTGCATGAAATTCGTGCACAGGTAGGGTCCCTAGGCCTGGCTGGCGATCAGGGCCGATCAGGTTCCCTGCCTCCCCACCCACCCTGCCACCTCCTTCCCTCACTCCCTCAGCACCCCACCGCCACCACTGGTTGCCCACCATGTTCCTCACTGCCCCCTGGTGGTCATCGCACATCATAGCAAGCGATCAAACTCCCAGTCTCCCAGTTGAACTCCCAAGAGGACAATTTGCATATTAGCCTTTTATTATATAGGATTGGAACAGTATGACAGACTTCACATTTTTTAATAGACTGTGCACAGTTTTCTTAAGACTTTTCTTGGCAAGAAAGTTAACTTGCCTCTCTCTATCCCTCTACTCTGCCATTAGAACTCAGAGGTCCTAAGAAGTCAAGAAGAGAAGGGCCAGGGACTAAATTCATGAGGCATCTCTTCGCAGTCTTTGTGCTGTTGGGACAATGATGAATAGCCTCCATGTGGCCAATGTTTTCTCACAGGCAGAATGAGGATTGTCCTCAATTCTCAGGACGAACTTTAACTATACCCCTTTCCCATGCTTTTCAGAAAACATATCAGAATACAGTGAGTCAGAATGATTTTATTTTAGGGAAAAATGTAGATACCTTTAAGTCAATAAAAAAATTTAGAAACTTTGGAGCTTTATATGTTATTAATAAATTAATAGTGATACACGAATGCACCCAACAAGGAGCTGAGAGCTGCTGCCTTTCCTTTGCTCCTCTCTCAGGATTTCAAGGGTGAAAAGTACTCTTTTGCCAACTGGATGGTCCAGAGGACAATATTTAGGAAAAGGAAGGTGTTCTCCACACTCAAACATGCGTAATTCCTAGTTTTCTCTCTATACTGAAGGTAACCAGGTATTTTTATGTTATAAAAGTTAAGGAGTTCAAAAGCACTCAATATCTTATTCTTTGAGAAACCACCAGTCATCTACTAACAACAATACTAAGGGACGGTAAGATTGCTATTGAGGCCCTAACCGGTTTGGCTCAGCAGATAGAGCATCGGCCTGCGGACTCAAGGGTCCCAGGTTCAATTCTGGTCAAGGGCATGTACCTTGGTTGCAGGCACATCCCCAGTGGGGAGTGTGCAGGAGGCAGCTGATCGATGTTTCTAACTCTCTATCCCTCTCCCTTCCTCTCTGTAAAAATCAATAAATAAAATATATTTTAAAAAATGATTGCTATTAAGAATGTTCCTTTAAACATTACACCTGCCTGTAGTCTTGTAATCTGATAAGCAGATTTGCAGCCTGCTGGCAAGGTTTACAGAGTATTTGACTAGCCTCTTTGTGAATTTAATTTTTTTTAAACAGTTTCCTAGGGGAAAGCTTTGCCAGGACACATTACTATAGGTTTTTTAAGAACTTGTCTGAGTGATGTCTACCATTCAGTCACTCAATACATGTTTGATGAATGAATCAATAGCTGATAGAATTAATACACTGTTGGTCACTTGTAATATCCAGAAGTGCCCTATAACTCATCATTTCATTTTTGTATGATGTATAGATAAAGTTCACTTGTTCAGTGTAACATTGCCAATGATAACCCTATTCCAATCCTCAAAAAACAAAACAAAACAAAACAAAAACCCAGGAAAATATATCCCATGTTCTCCAGACTAAATTCTTATAGTTTACCATGGTTCGCTTTTGAACTTTATTATAAAATCACAGAATTTTCTTTTTATAAGGAACTTTAGAGTATAATACAATATAGGAATGAATATTCTAAATTGTAGATATCAGGTCATTCACCCATGGGTACAGCTAATTAGTAACAACTTTTAACTGCAATAAAATTAGGTTTGGTGGCCTTGGGAATCCAACACAAAAACAGCTTTGCTACATGTATGTTAAGGCTGGTTCCTCTTGTGGTTTTTAATTTAAAAAAATATATATTTTTATTGACTTGGGAGAGGGAGAGAGAGAAACATCAATGATGAGAGAGAATCATTGATTGGCTGCCTCCTGCACACCCCACACTGGAGATCAAGCCCAAATCCTGGGCATATGCCCCGACTGGGAATCGAACCATGACCTCCTGATTCATAGGTCGATGATCAACCACTGAGCCATGCCGGCTGGGCTTGTGTGGTGGTTTAGAAGAATAAGCACAGGTGATCAAATGACTTGTGTCTTAAACAAGTTTAAGATATTAATTCACATCAGGTCAAACCGATGATTATTAAGAAAGTAATTACCATGTCCACTGTGTTTGATTATTTTCTATTTGTGTGACTCAGCAGTATAAGCAAATGAAGTAAACTTTGAAGGTCAAGAACAGTCAGTAAATCTTCAGTTACTTCTGAAGCCTTTGCAGCTTGTATTATAGCTCAATATTTGCTTTGGACTTGCCTCCTTCCTCAGTTTCATGCATTTCTTGTTGCTTAATTAGTTTTTGAAGTCAATGTCACTACTCTGGAAAGCTTTCAAACCACAGATGCCTACTTACAACACCCTTACATGGCTTCCACTGTTTCTTCCACTCCCTGAGCTCCTGGTGCCCCAGGGCTACCCCTAGGAAGGTTAGTACTCATCCCAGTAACAATAAAGAAGCTGAAAACTATTATACAATGGGATCTTTCTGCCTTAGCTTTATGGATGTTTAGGCCAATAAAATTAACATTTCCCTGAAGGGATTCAATATAGTCATGGATCACTTAACTATCAGGATGCATTCTGAGAAATGAGTCACTAGGTGATTTTGTTGTTGTGTGAACATCACAGAGTGTACTTACACAAACCCAGATGCCATAGCCCACTACACACCGAGGCTACATGGTTTATAGAGCCTATTGCTTCTAGGCTACAAGCCTATATATCATGTTACCATAGGAAACATGAGATTAAATCAAGCACAAGAGAAAATAATGTGGTCAAGAGATGTATGAGGCTACTGCCGGTATAACACAGCATACCATTTTACAACAACCTTTTCTATAAATAGAAAGGGTACATTCTAAAATAATTATAAAAAGTATTATATAGTAGAGATGGCCAACAGACATATGAAAAAAGCTTCACAACATCACTAATCATCAGAGAAATGCAAATCAAAACCACAATGAGATACCACCTCACACCTATTAGATTGGCTATTGTCACCACGACAAATAAGTGTTGGAGAGGGTGTGGAGAAAAGGGAACCCTCATGCACAGCTGTAAATTGATGCACACATTATGGAAAAGAGTAGGGAGGTTCCTTAATTAAAAATAGAAGTACCATGTGATCCAGCAATTCCACTTTTGGGTATTCATCCAAAGAAATCCAAAACACTAATTTGAAAAGATATATGCACACCTATGTTCATTGCAGCATTACTTACATTAGCCAAGATATGGAAGAAAACTAAATGTCCATTGGTAGATGAATGGATAATGAAGATGTGGTACATATTACTCAGCTATAAAAAGGAATGGAATCTTGCCATTTGTGGCAACATGGGTGGACTTAGGAGGTATTATGCTAAATAAAATAAGTCAGGCAGAGAAAGACAAATACCATATGATTTCATTTACATGTGGAATCTATAAAACAATAAATGAACAAACAAAACAGAAACAAATTCATAGGTACAGAAAACAAATTGTTAGTTGCTAGATGGGGAGGGTAGTTGGGGGGTGGGGAAAAAAGTGAAGAAATTAAGAAGAACGAATAGTTATAAAAGTAGTCACAGGGATGTACAGTACAGCATAGGGAATATAGTTAATAATGTTGTAATAACTATGTACTGTGTC